TATATATAGTACATATCTATAAACTACATATATATATAAACTACATATATATACTACATATCTATAAACTACCTATATCTATACTACATATCTATAAGCTACCTATATATACATAAACTACATATATATACTACATATCTATAAACTACCTATATCTATAAACTACATATATATACTACATATCTATAAACTACATATATATATACTATATATCTATAAACTACATATATATACTACATATCTATAAACTACATATATATACTATATATCTATAAACTATATATATATATACTACATGTCTATAAACTACCTATACCTATAAACTACATATATATACTACATATCTATAAACTACATATATAATATATATCTATAAACTACACACACACATGTATATATACTACATGTCTATAAACTACATATATAAAAAAGCTACATATATATAAACTATGTGTGTGTATATATATATATACATATATAAATCAAAAGGAAATGAACAAGGAAAGTGTCATAGAAACGTGGAGTGTGGAAACCTACATAGCAAGGTGGTCAGGGAAGGCCTCTCTAAAGAGGTGATAATTAGATGTGCCATGAGGGATGAGACAGAACCGGGCATATGAAAAGTCCGAAGTGAAAAGAGCCAGGTGGAGGACAGCCTGGGCAACAGTAGTGGAGGAAATGGGTTCAGAGAAGACTACTAACCATGGACAGAAGGATGCTGTGGTGTGGGAACCACAGGTTGAGGACTGTGAGTAGGTAGAAAATGGGAAATGGATGATGGAGCAAGAGACTTATATATAAAGACAAGCATCAAACCTGGTGGGGGTCAGAATCAGAGAAGAGGGCAACTTTGATGACCTTGTTTTATTTCCTGCCATGCTTCAGAAAGGATTTAAGATGACTTACTTAGCACCATATTTAACTAATCCAAAACAAAACAGACAAAAACAGAACAACAACAACAAAAAAATGTTGCAGTTAAGTTTATTCTGTCTCATGGTGACTCCATGTGTTACAGAGTAGAATTGCTTCACAATATTTTCTTGGCTGTAATCAGCTCTGGTAGCATAGTGGTTACAAAGTGGGCTGCGAACCTCAAGGTCAGCAGTTTGAAACTACCAGCTGTTCCGTGGGAGAAAGAGGAGGCTTTCTGCTCTATAAAGATTTACAGCCTCGGAAACCCTGTACAGGGTCGCTATGAGTCAGAACCAACTCCACGGCACATAACAACAATAGTCTTTAGAGAAGCATATGGCTAGCCTTTCTTTCAAGGCACCATTGGATGAATTTAAACTGCCAACCTTTAGGTTAGTAATTGAGTATAAAATGTTTGCACCATTCAGGGACCTTATAGCATATTGAAATGCAAGAAATAAGTAAGTGAAGAGACTGAGATGAAAGGAGAATCCATATTGGAAAAATAAATTTAAGCTGAAATGGAGTCCTGATTATTAGTGGGCCATAGATTGGGTTCTGAGCTTTCGAGATGCCAGTACAGAGCGAACTAGAATCAACAAGTGGCTTGAGACAAGGAGTAGTAGCAGTTATGAGATGGGGTATGTGACAGATTAGAGAGAGGGAGAATGGAGTGATGTTTACTCTCATAAAATTACCAGTTGAAGATTAAGATTAAACAGTCATAATTAAAAACAAAAATACCTTGGCCTGCTGGCATGATTTCCTCATAGGTTCTGAAAACCATCTGCAAATAGTATTGAATAAAGCTTGTTAGTTTCCCTAAAAATGTAAACTGACCAAAGAATGTCTTTGGCTCTTCTTGCTGGTGTCTAATGGGAAGTTCATACATAAAATATTGATCAAGGCAGATTTCCATTGTTCAGGGAAAGTGTTTGTGTGGGGTGGAGTGAGGGCTGTGGTGGATACTGAGGCAGCTGTTTGTACACTTGATGGTAAGATGGTCAGGATGAAGTCTTTGAAAGGCCACACCTGAAACAGCGTGAGAGAAATGTGCCATCCTGCCAAATTCAGTCTGCCTGATGTTACCCAGACCTCAGTGTTGATGGATGTGGCAACTACATCACTTCATTTTCTTTGTTTGGGATATGTGGGGTGTGGTGAGGTGTGTGTATGCATGTATGTGTGTATACGTGCAAAGTATGACAGAGTCTAATTGCTTTAACTTATTGGTCAGACTCAAGCTCCTCACTTTCATCTCATGATGCTTAATAGATACTTGCAACCTACTCAAATCATTGCTCAAGCGTAGCAATAATTGTGAGGTTGGTGCACGATGGGACAGTATTTTGTTCTGTTGTGCATAGGATCACTATGAGTTGGTACTGGCTCAACAGCACCTAACAACAACAACAGCAATTAGGTGTGATGAGGCTGTGCCCTTATTTCCACTCTAATTGTTGTTCAAGTGTAACAACGATTATGAGGTTGGCACAGGATGGGGCACCCTTATGCTCATTCTGTTGAGCATAAAGTCACCATGAGTCAGTACTGACTCAATGGCACCTAGCAACAACAACAATTAGGTGTGATGAGGCAACACTGTACCATTATTTAATTTCTGAGAATGTGACTTTAGCGACTAGTCAATGGGAAAAGCATCAAGAAAGCAAACTCAGACTTGCTACTAAATAGACAGGCCCTGACTTGGCTCCTCCAAGACTCCTGACTGCTTTTTCATTCAGCTCTGTCATCCCTGAGCTTTGGGTGAGGGCTTTGCCCACCATTGCTCTCCTTTTCCCATCACTGGTTAGTTTTGCAACCACCAGAAATCCCCCTCCTTGGTACGCCCATTTCAAATTGGAAGCACTTAGTTTCTTCCTCTGATTCTAGATAATGAGGGGACTTCCGAAGTCTAAATGACAGTGGTGATCGGAAGGGAAATCGAGAAGAGATGTTTTCTTTTTCCTTCACCACTTTTCATTTCTCTTTCTGGGACCAGGAAAAAAAAAAAAAAGAAAGAATGGGGGAGAACAGCAGAAAGGAAAGAAGAGTAGTTCTTCTAGTTTGTGAGGCAACATGAGAATGATTAAAATCATGGTCATATGGCCTGAGTACAAATCTGTCCATTACTAGTTTGTGAAACTTCATTTTACTTAATTGATCTAAACTTCAATTTCTACATCTGTTTTTTAAAATAATAATAGCATAATAATAATTCTATTTTCATACAGATGTTGTGAGAATTAAATGAGATAATGTATTTAGTGGGCATAGGAGTTTACTGGGAATAGCTTGCTTAGTTAATAGTGTCTGGGAAAAAAAAGCAGAAGAATTATTTCCCCTATGCCCTCTCACCCACTCCCTTTGTGTCCTCTCCCAGCTTCTAGTTGACTTGGTGGCAGGATGTGAGACTGAGGAGAGGGAAAATAACAAGGAAGAAGTATATACAACCTATCCCTGCTACTTCTCCTATCTCCCCAGTGCCCAGCCCTCCTCCTTGGTCTCCAGATTGCTATCCTGGTTCTGAGGTTCTCTCTCTAACACTGCTGTATCCCTGGACATCCATTGTCTGTGATGTGGAGTCCTATCCTTCAGGTTCTTCAGAGTCCTTTCTTAGTCCCAGCCTTTTCTTAGTCCTCACCCCTTGAATTGAGCGTCATTGTAATTTGGAGCAGTAGAATCACAGCAGCTTTGGAACCCCTTGTGGGAAGTGGGTGCCCCAGCTCAGATCACACTTCCAGGACAGCCACAGAGCAGACATACTTCTCTGCTGAAGGTATGATTTAATTTTCCATAGAAAGAACTAGGTGTCTACGTTCTATTGAGAGTAATGTTCAAGATTATAAATCAGAGTCCTAACTACCCACACAGTACTGTTCCAATGGCAAAGTGGATTCTGAGAATCAAACAAAGAACTTCTAAACATGTTCTTGCTATACATCCTCCTTGTACCCTGGGACTTTCTCCTCTATATTTGAGTAATGATGACATATACGATACTCCAAAGTTTACAGAGTACTTTTACATCTGCATTCTGATCTGACTTCTCAAGGTAGACAGAAGGCAAATATTATTAAATATCATCTTACAAAGGAGCAAGCAGCTCAAAGGAAGAAAATTGATTAAGAGACTAAGTCACATCACTAAAAGCTAAATTAATTAAATGCAGTGACATAAACTGCTAGCTAGCACAATATTCCTACTGGAGATTCTGTTTAAGCAGTGTCTATAACAAATGCAAGTCCTGGAGTGGTACTGTAGGATAAGAACTGGACTGTTAACTACAAGGTTGGTGGTTCAAACCCACCAGTCGCTCCTCAGAAACCCTATACAGGAACACTACGAGCTAAAACTGACTCAACAGCACTTACAAAAATAACAACATATACAGATAATGATTTTTGTTGTTGTTGTCATTTATTGTGCATAAACTGAAAAGTCATCATCTTCAATTTCTCAAAGTATCTCTTTCTTTCCTTCTTCTTCCTCTTTTCTTTCTTCATTTCTATATAACATGCTGCTATTCAGTCAATTCTGATTCATAGTCATCTTATAGGACAGAGTAGAACTGCTTCATAAAATTTTCAAGGCTATAAATCTTTGACTCAGTTTCCCATGTTACGATAAGAGAGATCAGACTAGAGGAGGAGGTCAAAGGAATGAACTCTAGTCCAAGAGTTATCAGTGTTTGGTGCTGTTCCTAGTTCTATGAACCTGAGGGGAAACTTGAAGGTTTTAAATATTCCTTGCCCCCTGACTCCTATGCCCTCTGGTGCAGTTACCTGGTAGGACATTTACCTTTCTAACAAGCTGGCGTAGTTGCCACTTCACTTGCCAACATGGGTTGTTCATACTGTCTTCATCACTGGGGTCCCACAAGTCATCATCCTCCTTTAAGAAACAAGCAGTGCCGCTTCTGGAGTACTTGTCCTGCATCTGGGTTGGAATGGAATAGTACACAATATTACGCACAGTGCTTTTCGTATTTGTTTGTCATGAGTTAAAACATGAGAGACTGATGCCTGATTCAGAGATGTCATTTGTGTCTTGGAAGATACGTAAGCATGCTGTGCTTTTTTCTTATGAATAAAAAAGCCAGTTAGATATGATGGAAAGTGTACATATGCTGCTCAGGCATCATTGGTCACAATGCCCTTCTCTTGGCAATTTGCTTCAACTCTTCTGTGTCTGATCATCTGAGTTTTGAGCCTGTTCCTTGGTGTGATCTCTGAGGTCTCTTTTAGCTCTGACATGCTGCGGATTCCCTTCTACAACAGAGAACCCACCTACATACAAGTTAGGCAGTGAAATTGGCTTAATTTCAGGATCCTAAAAAAAATTAAGGTCAGCAGCTCAAACTACCAGCTGCTCCTCAAAAATCCTACACAGGATCTCTATGAGCTGGAATCGACTTGACGGCATTTGGCAACAAATAAAATGAATTAAGCAAATCTTTTACATTGCAGGTAATGTTCTGGCACTTGCTATGGTTACACAGGTGTGTTTACTTTGTAAATTTATCAGCTGACCTGTATATCTCCAGGTTTGTACTTTTCTCTGTGCCATGTTTCAGAAGAAGTTAAAAAAAGTCAAGATTTGTCAAGTCTTCCAGGAACACCTTTTCATGCCCTTGGTGATAGTGTTGACAATATAATCTCTCCTTCCCTGTACTCAAAGCCTGAAGAACAATATGTAGGAGCTTTGGCTTTCTGAGTAAATTCCAATTCTTATTGTAATTTCTACTTTGTATGGCAGAATACGGGCCACATTGCCACTCCATATTTGAATGGTACCTCATCAAATGTCCACATTAGGAATTGATCTGCAGGGCAATTAAATACTGTTTAAAGGTTTGCAGTAAAGGCTCATTTAATTGCAAGGCTCAAGTTCATTCCACATGTAACGTCTAACAAATCAGTTATGGTAATGTCTGCAGAACGTGGATTAACATGAGTCAAGGAAAAATACCCACTTATTTTAGATTTCAAAGTTAAATAATCCCTGGATGATGCAAAGAGTTAATAGACTCAGCTGCTAATCCAAAGGTTAGAGATTCATGTCCAGTCACAGATACCTCAAGAAAGTGGTGGTGATCAACTTCTGAAAAATCAGTCATTGAATACCCCATGAAGTACAGTTTTAAAATCAACTTAGCTGCTTTGGTTTGATTAAGAGCAAACATATTTGCAAATGCCAAATCATTGTCAACAAAGTCCTTCCTTGAAGCAAAATACACATACCAAACCACATCCCAAGCACTGCCTACTTCAAATTAATCAAATTGTTATATCCTGCCAAGAAAAACAGGGAGTTCATTCAAGGCCAGAAGTTTTATTGTTTTGTTTTTTAAAAAGCCAACTGGTTTAAAATAGACACTATTTCCTTGTAGACATCTGCTGAATTGTCTTTGTCTGGAGAAATAGAGTCAGACATTCACCTTGTAGATATGGTGGTGGTAGTGAGGGGAACAATTGGGCCACCTAGGTTGAAATAGGACTGTCAGAGTAGTTAGACAGCCTTCCTTGCCTCTCCCCACACTTCTCTACTGTAGTAGGCACCTATTTGCACTTCCAGTTACTTGGGAGTTGAGAAAACTTTGCAAGGAAAGAGCTCAATCATATATGTGGGCTTCAAAATATTTATGGAGAAGTTCCATGATCTTTCATTTCATTTTTCCCCAAACTTTTTGAAGTCCACTCATACATGGATGCAAGCACGTCTAACAAAATGGGAAATGGGGAGGAAGAAGATGGGGTAGAAGAAGAAAGAGCTGGATTCAAGCTCAAAGCTTGAAGGTTGGGTCCAGAAAAGCAAACTAATGTTTACTGGACTCTCTTCCAGGCTAACCCTGGCCAGGCATACGTTTTGATGAAAATGAGCAAACAGGGTCACTAACCTCTGTAACTTGTTGGGGAAAACAGATGTGAATAACACAGAAGTTATGTCTCATCTTACTTCAGAACAGCTGGACGCCATCTAAACACATAAGGGCTAAAGTCAGAGAAGTCCAGACTCACAGGCAGGAAGAGGCAGAGCAGAGTTGGGAGTTGACCAGGATCAGGCAATAATAAGAGAGAAAATGAAATTTGAAAGGAGTTGAAAAATGCAGCCTTAGTCACAGAGACCAGGAAATGGCTGGAGCCCTCTGAGCTTTTTCGAGAAACACCTTCAGTAATATGTGAGAAATCTGAAAATTGATTACAGTCCCTGATAAGTTAACGTGCTTTCATTATTGCCTAAAAATTCATGAACCTGGATGAATTAGGATACGTAGACAATGTAAAGAATATAAAGAAATAAAGAGAAGAAAATGAAAATCACCTCAATCCTATCTCCCAGAGAACCAAAGGTTAATCATCTAGTTAACCTTTGGATGCTCTCCTTTCTTTTACACACTTGTTGACAGAGTTGAGATCTGACTCTCAAAAATGAAATTTTGTGTATGGTTGTTGTTTTCTTAAGGCCATACAAAAATGTCATGTCTTTTAAATCTGCATGGAATATATGGATAAACATAGACATTTTTATGACATTTACTGCAACCCTATAGGACAGAATAGAACTGCTCCATAGGGTTTCCAAAGCTCTCATTTTATGGACGCAGACTGCCACATCTTTCTGGTGGTGGTAACTTTTTACTAGCAGGTGAATGCTTAACCACTGCACCAGCACTGTTCCTTGTAGAAAATATAGAAAAATTAAAAGGAATAAGCCACTCATAATCCTGCCATCTGAGATGAAAAGTGTCAACATCGTGGTGTTTCTCCTTCTAGATATAAATATGACTCTCTGAAGAATAGAAACTCAGCAAGTCCCAATCATCCTTCCCACCAAGTTTCTTGCATTGTACTATTTGGTAGCTTCTTCTAGAAACTTTAGCCATCCTTCCCACCATGTTTCTTGCATTGTACTATTTGGTAGCTTCTTCTAAAAACTTTGGCCAATGATAAGAGACTGGAGGTATGGGATAGGTGGTGGGAGGCTGTGGTAATTCTAAGAATAAGTAGCGTGATAAATCGTTCCCCTACCATCATGCCCCGCCCCCCCGTGGTTTTTCACATCCTTCTTGCTTAGAAATATGTGTTTCCTGAGGCAGCTCCTTTCAGCCTCTTCCCTGAACTGAACTTTAAGGAAAGGGATGTATGTGTGTTATTTTCACTCCAGAAGCCCTTGGTTCTGAGAAGTGGCTTTTGACAGCAACTGTTCTTGTTGCCGTAGCACGATATTTAAGCCAGCGTAAACCAATCCTTGGCAGGGCTGGAAGTCGCAGTGTGGACTCTTTTCTGGTTCAGAGAATTTGAGGTGGCAGCACTGACCTCCTCTGCTTTGTACAATCATTTTCTAAAAACAGTGACTAGCATAAGGGATTCTTTATAGAAATCTGTGAAGAATGGTCATCTTGTCCCCTTTTTTCTCCACCTATGGTGCAAGGTTGGCTCACCAGCCGCCCCTCACAAGCCCTATACAGGGTCACTATGGTTAGAACCGACTCGACGGCACTTAACAACAACAGTGATGTCACAAAGATAGATGATTCCTTGATCATAAATTTTCTCAGACAAACACATATTCCACAAGCTATTGTTCATGCTTGTTAGTCTACATATTAAATATTTCTTAGCTTTCTTTCACTCATGCCTCCTAAAATGCTTGCTCACGCTATCTTTGCAAATTTCACCAGTCAAAGGGGAACCTGTAATCTGTTTTAGGAAAATAATATTTATATTAAATATGCTTCTGATGTGAATATGCTACATAGACACTCTAGAAAATTCAGGCTAATTTTGCCTTCTTAACAGTAATTACAGTGGCTATATGGTAGCGTAGTGGTTACGAATTGGGCTGCCAATCTCAAGGTCAGCAGGTCGAAACTACCAGCTGTTCCACAGGAGAAAGATGAGGCTTTGTACTCTGGTAAAGATTTACAGCCTTGGAAGCCCTACACAAGGTTGCTATGAGTCGGAACCAACTCCACGGCACACAACAACAACAACATATATTTATTAGGACTTCTGATGTGGCTCTGTGGATCAGCACTGGACTGCGAATCACAAGCTCGGCAGTTCAAACCCACCAGCTGCTCCTTGGAGACCCTATATAGGGTTGCTATGAGTCAGAACCGACTCAATGACACTTAACAACAACAACATTGTTTATTAAGCACCTATTTTATGTCAGGCATTTCATACACTAGCTCAGATAATCACAATGTTACTGCTAAATAAGTAACAATATTGCTCCCATTTTGCAACAGAGGAAGCTGAGGCTTAGAGATATGAAGTAGTTAACCCAACTCTATAAACTAGATAAGAGAAGATTTCAGTACAAGTCCACTTCACTGCAAAATTCAAGCTGATTCCACAGTTAATGTCTAACCAATCCTTTAGTTGAAGGGTCTAGCAAAATTTAAACATCTTGCAATACTAGACTCTAAATTTAATGGATGGTTGTGATGGTAATCTCTGGAGAGATTTGGGTACCCACTTATTTTAGGTGTTTTCAAGGACAATATGAAGTTTGTCATGTGGCATTTCCATGTTATTCAGACCTAATGATTTTAAATAAGTATATGAGTAGATGGCAAGTGAGTGAGATTCAAGATCTTTCATGTAGGGTCTTCCAAGAAGAATGTTTTAATAAGAAAGACATTAAACTAAACCAAATCAATGAACTTTGAATCCATTATAAGACTTCAGAGACTGTAACCTTTTTGGCAGTAGATAGCCTCGTTGTGCTCCCTTGGAACAGTTGGTGGGTTTGAACCATCAGTCTTGCAATTAGCAACCCAATGCTCACAGGTAACCCTTTTTTGTTTTCTTTCAGAAACCCACTGATCAGAGACTGGGCTTTGTATATGTTGAGAAGAATCTGGGCTTTGGAGTCAGTCTGCTTTGTGTTCAAAATCAGACATTACTTTTTACTAGCTTTTTAGTCTTGGACAAGTCACCTAACTTCCTTGAGCCTTAGATTGTTCATCTATAATTCTGTTGCTGCTGAGTCTGTTGTGACTCATAATGACCTTTTAGGATGGAACAGAAGTGCTCCAGAAGGTTTCCAGAGCTAAAAATTTTATGGAACAGATTGCCACATCTTTCTCCCATGGAGCAGTTGATGAGTTCAAACTTCAGACCTCCCAGTTAGCAGCAGAGCACTTAACCACTGTGCCACCAGGGTTCCTTTGCTCATCCATATCATCTTATTGGAAGGGTTGTGCTATGAATTGAACTGTGTCCCTCCAAAATAAGTATTGTAAATCTTAACCCTTATATCTGTGGTAATAATCCCATTGGGGAATGAATTTTCTTTGTTATATTCAGAGGCCATATGAATATAGGATGGGTTTAAGTCTTTGTGATATAAAAAAGCAGATTAGGATAGAGGAGCAGTGGCAGATGGGGACATTTTGACATGAAGACTGCTAAGAAGCCAAGAAGCAGAAACTGAAAGGAAACAGGACCTTCCCCAGAGCGAATAGAGAGAAAAAGCATACCTTTAGAGCTGGCACCCTGAATTTTGACTTCTAGTTCCTAAATAGAAAGAAAATAGATTTCTGACTGTTAAAGTTATCCACTTGTGGTATTTCTGTTATGACAGCACTAGAGAACTAAGACAGACTTCAGAACTGGAGAGTAGGTGCTACTCAGACAAATCCCTAAAATGTGAAAGTGGTTTTCAAATTGGCTAATGGGTAGATGCATGATGACGCTGGGTGTTAGGCATTAGGCTGCTAACCAGAAGGTCAGTGGTTCAAACACACTAGCTACTCTGCAGGAGAGAGGAAGAAGAGGCTGTCTACTTCTGTAAATTATAAGAATGACACAGGGTAACACTTAACAAAGTTCCTGGAACTTTGTAGGTACTCAACAGCTGCTGATTTCCCTCCCTTTCTAGGACTCTCAGCATATTCCTCTGCATGTCCTTTACATTGAGGTGCATCCCATAACTAAACCTGGAGGCTTTGATCTTCATCAGTAAGTACTTTAAGTTCTCTTTGCTTTCAGCAAGCAAGGTTGTATCATCTGCATATCACAGGTTGTTAGGGAGTCTTCCTCCAATCCTGATGCCATGTTGATCTACATCTAATCCAGCTCTCAGAATATTTACTCAGCATACAGATTGAATAAGTATGGTGAAACAATATAACCTTGGTGCACACCTTTTCTAATTTTCAACAATTCAGTGTCCCCTTGTTCTGTTCCAATAGCTGCCTCTTGGTGTATATACAGGTTCCTCATGAGCACAAATAAGTGCTCTGGAATATTCAATTCTTTGCAATGCCCATAACTTGTCATGATCCACATAATTGAAAGCTTTTGCATAGTCTATAAAGCACAGGTAAACATCTTTCTGGTATTCTCTGCTTTCAGCCAAGATTCATCTGGTGCCACCAATGATATCTCTTGTTCCATGTCCTCATATTTTAGGGGACCACAATTTAATTCATAAAATAATCTCAAATCTCCTCATTTGTGAAATGAGAGGGTCTCCAAATTCCTTCAAACTCAAAGTTCGCTACTAGTCTTGTGTAAGATGTGTATATGGTTATATGAGTATATAGATATCCCTCATTCCATGTCTGCATATTTTAGGGGACCACAATTAAATTCATAACATAGTCTCAAGTCTTCTCATCTATGAAATGAGGGACTCTCCAATTTCCTTCAGATTCACAGTTCCTTACTATACTTGTACAATATGAGTTAGTCAAAATATAGTTCACTGTATTAATATTAAAGTTATGTTGATTGATTTTGAATGACTTGGCATTCATAGTCCCAGAAGTTTTTTATCATTGATAAAACATAGATTAAATTGGCTCACATTTCATTTTCTCTGTCAAATGTGCATAGATTGTTATTGGAACTTTTAATGGGATAGAATGACAAATTTTTTTATTATTATTTTATCATAAACAGTAGAATGCTGAGTCCATCTGATAACCCCTTGCCTACAGCCAAGGATTGAAGTCCTGGTGTGGTGCTGTGGGTTAATGCACTGGACTGCAAAGTTGGTTTGATCCTCAAGGTTGGCAGTTCAAGCTTACCTCTCCTCCTCAGAAACCCTATACAGAGTCGTGATGAGTCAGTACCAACTAGATGACACTTAACAACAACAACAACCAAGGATTAGATACAAATGACAATCTTTCTGTGGTCCCTTATTGTCAACAACGAAATATCACAAATCTAAATAAAAACATATTTTAAAGATCTAGCTTGCCCTTACCCCATGCTTAGTGTTGGAGAGAAAGGATAAACATGACATTTCAAACCTTGTTTCTGATTGTAGTTCATTTGTGTCTGTTCTCTCTATTCATTCTGAAAGTCTGACTTCTCTGTGTTAACACTTTCCATCCAAATAATTTAAGATACTTCAAAGAAAAGGGCAGACAGGTAGGGTGGAGAGACAGATAATAGTTATGAGTTCTGAGGTCTTAGGATAAGGAAACAGTGTCTGAAGAACATTTCTGCCCATGCTGAGTTTGCACAGATGCTTTTCTGAAAATTCATTGGAATTAGTCATGACCGGAATATTCAGCAATGCCATCCAGTAATTTCGAGTCTTGCTCCTGTGTATTAGTGGTAACTACTAAATAATGCTGTTGCATAAGTTACTCATTCATCCTCATTCATGTTATGTGCAAACCATATGCTAGATCCCATAGAAGCAGTGGTGAGCTAAAAACAGTCCTCATGCAGTCACAGACTGCCAAATATGAGACAACTACAAAGTACTTAGCAGAAAGTACTCAATCAATGGTAGCCGTGGCTAATGTTATAAATATATACACTTTTAAAGACAACAACAACAAAAATGCCCCCAGGAGTTTTGTTGTCTGTTCTTGTTAGACACTGGTAGATTCAGTTCTGTAACTGCTTTGCTCACACAGTCCCTTGAACTTGAATGTTTATAAAATGCTCAGCAATTTTAAACATTAACAATTAGAGTCCATGAACACAAAAGGGGACATCTTTTTCCAAAGTCAACTCTTCCATGAGGAGCCTACGGAGAGGCAGAGACAGAAATTAGCCCTGGGTTTACCGTGAGCCTTCCAGAGCAAGGGCATTGTACTGACCTGCTTCAGTTCATTGGTGAAGTACACGTAACTCACAGCCACATACAGAGACTGCAGCAGCAAAGTGAAGATCAGGATGAGCAGGCAGGTTTGCCCGAGGCTGAGGCCTGTGGGGTTTGAGACTTGCATGGCCATAGTCCTGCAGGTCATGTCTGATAGCCACGAAGACAGCCTGGCAGTTAGTATTATGAACAGAGATCTGGGAGGAGCAGTTTCACCTTCAACGAAGCCATCTGAAAATAAAAGTGAAACTAGATAATACAGACCTTACATGACAACTGTAAGAATTTCAAATTCTCTCCTTCCCACATTTCCAAACTGTTCTGGACTTGAGTAAGGCTTAAATGAACAGGTCCCTCGCTAACTCTCAGGACATTCTGTGGCTGTGCTCAATTCTTAGAACTAACTCTTATGCTCCCAGATCATGTTTCACTCATGTCAGCAGCCTGTGACTTGGAATAAAACCACACAGATCTGACTGGGACCTAAGATCACACAAGTCTGGAGATGCTGGCAGCATCTGGAAAAACAACCTTTGAAGTCTACCCACAGGACACACCTGCTCCACCCACTCCATACCTGCCAAAGTGAAGGGCTGTTCACCAGAGATACTCAGATTATCTGGTCTCAGGTTTGCCTCTGCAGCTGTCTATTGTGTCCTTGGTTTCTTAATGGTCCTGCTATAAATGTTAGCTCCTGATAAGTGTTCCTACTTTGCAACTCCATGCTCCCTGCAGTGTGCACAAGATCCAGTCAGCCTGGCAAGCAGATATCCAGACACTGGGTCCTTAGCTGTGACTACACCAGGACAGATGGACAGCCCCTCCATCTAATAAAATGAGAAACAAAGAATGGACTACAGCTGCCAAATTTCCCTAGTCTCTTGCAGACAAGATACATTGCTGTTGTTGTAAAGTGCCATCGAGTCGGTTCCGACCCATAGCGACCCTGAGCAGGGTTTCCGAGGCTGTAAATCTTTATGGGAGCAGAAAGCCTCATCTTTCTCCCACAGAGCAGCCGGTAGTTTCCAACTGCTGACCTTGCGGTTCACAGCCCGATTCATAACTACTACACTACCAGAGCTCCTTTTACATTATGATAATGTAGTATCAAATCTGCCAGCTGACTAGGAAATGCAAGGTTGAGGTCCTCAGGAAAATAGAAATTGCTGGTTTGCATGTGGTGTTGACTCGTTATCATAGCCTTGCTCTGAAGTGGTGGTCAGACCCTTTTCACCTTCCCTGAAGGCAAGTGTGGAAGCTTATTGCAGAAATGACAAGTGTCAGGTTTCTGCAAGCCCAGTCCATTTTCACATCATTCAGAGATCGGTCTTTCTTGGAGTGGTGGCAATATTTGAAGTTGAGACTGTTCTTTCCAACCTTTGGATTTTTGTAAGTTACATTCCCTTGTGTATTAAGATGGACTCCAAGAATGAGGAGGACTCATCCTGCAACTGACCAATGGTAAAGCTCAGGAACACTCTTTGGGCTGCGCTATCAAAGAGGGATGTAGCATGTCTTTCAGCTTCACAGAATAACCAGCCAGATGATCTTTAGAGCAGACAGTGGGGAGATATGATAGGAATGAAGTCTGTGTCCTGTGACTTTATACCCCAAACAGGAATATTATCAGGCAACTGGGTGCCAGTGTGACAGATACCCTTTGAGGAAGAGCAGAGAGATACCTGGAGCAAGGTGCCTAGTTGTAGAGGTCAACCAAAGCAAGACTGGGAACTCCCAACAGCAGGCATCTTTGATTCTTGTGAGGTTGAAGGTGCTCCCCACCAAGTCTTCACCTCCTCTCCAAGGCAGGTTTGTAGGACTGCACAATCATGTGAAGGAGAGCCACTAGTAATTGTTTCCAAGGAAAGCGGAACTTTTTCAACAGGGTGTTTCACTCCTGAGCACTCCCTTATTTTCCTCTTTGATCTTCATGGACTGTTTGAATGACTCAGAGTTGTGATTTCATTGTTGACTTTCAAAAAGGTGGTATGTGGCCACCTGCCATTTTATCAGAGTCTTAACTAATTTCTTCCTTTGTGGGGACAGCACCTCAGCCTTGTGGGGGTGAAACAGTGCCACCTGAATCATATGCCTCAATGGGCTTCTGCAAAATATACAAAACTAACCACCCACCCACTACTGAGGAATCATTTCTGACTCACAGTGATGCTATAGGTCAGAGTAGAACTGCTCTATAGGGTTTCTAAGACCACAAATCTTTACTGGGGCAGATAGACACATCTTTCTCTCATGGACACATAACAAGGTCAGTAATAATAATAATAATAATAATAATAATACAGTGAGAGAGGTTTTCCCTTTTAAAGATGGGAAAGGGGAGTCTTGTGAATGTAGTCTAACTCTTAAATTTTGCATTTCAGAAAATGATTTGAACCTCTAAACTTTTCATTAGCACCTGAGCATGTAACAACGTTAAGTAGAAATCAAATAACTGCCCTTCCCAAGTGTCCGGCCTCTCCTACAGATTGCGTTCCCTCACAATAACCTTGTGAGAGGTCACTCAACAGTTATCCCCCTTTTACTGAGAAGACTGAGGTTTAGAGGGGTCCTGCAAATTTGCCATGGTCACACAGTTGATAAATGTTAGAACCAGCATTCTAACCTCACTGAATCTGATTTTAAAGCATTGGACACCGTCTACAACGCCACTCTGCCAACCCCAGAAGCAAAGCCCACCAGAATTAGGGGAAAACTAGACAAGAGCTACTTTAAAACAGTGTTTTAACCATAAAAAGACAGCACAATCAAAAACTGGGCAAAGGACTTAATAGACATTTCACCAAAGAAGAAATTCAAATTGCTAACAAGCACATGAAGTGATGCTCATCCTCATCAGTTATTAGGAAAATGCAAATCAGAACCACTTCTCACACACTAGGATAGCTATTGTTTAAAACAAACAGGAAAAAAAGAACCAATACAACAGAATACAACAGGTATTGATGAGGATATGAAGAATATGGAGCCCTAATCCATTGATGATGGGAGTATAAAATGGTATAGTTGTTATGGAAAATAGTTTGACCCTTCTTCAAAAAGTTAAACAAAGAATTATTATGTTGTTGTTGTTGTCATTAGGTGCCATCGAGTCAGTACCGCTTCATAGCGACCTTATGCACAGCAGAACAAAACACCGCCCGATCCCGGGTCAACCTCACTACTGTTGCCACGCTTGCCACTTGGCCAATCCATCTTTTTGGGGGTCTTTCTCTTTTTCTCTG